ATATGTGAATTATTTTAATGATCCCTCCCAGAAACACAATGAGGTCAGTACTATCATTGGACCCATTTTACTTCTCATGGTTGAGTAATTAACCCAAAGCAGTCCAGGTGGATTATGACCCCAGCTACTTTGCTTCTACAAAAGGGGCTACAGGTGTCCCTCTTGGTGTTCTTATTCTAGTTGACTTGAGCGAAATCATGAAAAACGTGAAACCTTTGCTAACTGAGAATGGGAGAAACCCACCATAATGCTATTTCCATGTTACACATCACAGATTCCAGACAAGCCAGTCTCTAGCCTGGAGACTAGCTGAATTCTCCCAATTGCCTCCATTCTCTCCAAAAAAAAAAAAAAAAAAAAGCTTTTCATTAAAAACAAAAATGCCTAAGAGTCTTTTTCTGACTTAAAGCATCTTACAACCATCACCACATGGGAAGCCAGAAAAAAATTCTATGTCTGATTTTAATAAAATATTCTTTTCTCATCAAAATATTTTGATAGCATGGAAAAAGAAAAGTGTGCTCATTAAAGTTTAATGAACGTCTCTCTCTGCCATTTTCCATATGAGAATCACACACTGTGACTCATGCATTGTGGGTGCTGGGAATAATTAACTTATCATTATGGGGAAGAATGCATCCAAGACTGGGTCCATTAGGGTGTAATTACATGTCCACTGGCCAACTGTTTTGGTTGACATGACATAGATTCAGACAGGTGAGCTCAATATTGTTCCAGGTTGGCCGTCACTTGCTCTAAAAATGGGGCTGGTTAAAAGCAGCTGCAAACTTGCTGCCAGAAACCTCCAGTCCCAAGGATGAGCTGAGGACTCCCAGAATGAGAGAGCGCCTTGGGCAAAGGCTTTAAAGAGAAGGGAGAAACAAAAGAGGTTCTGACTCTTGGGAGGACAGAGTTAACAGTAATGTTACATTTATGCTCTAGAACAGGGGTCCCTCTCTCGGGTCACGGACCAGTACCTGTCCAAGGCCTGTTAGGAACTGGACCACACAGCAGGAGGTGAGCAGTAGGTGAGTGAGCAAAGCTACATCTATATTTGCAGCCACTCTCCAGCGTTAGCATCACCACCTCAGCTCCACCTCAGATCATCAGGCATTAGATTCTCATAGGAGCACTGGTGCCTGGTACGAAAAAGGTTGGAAACCGCTGCTCTAGAATCTTTGCTGAAGCTTCTCTGTTCATAAAGTGAATTATAAAGGCCTCATCCCCAAATTTTAGGCTTACTTTAAAATTGCCCTAAGCTGCCTTTCTAGGTTTATCTCCACTAGTCCCCTGCTCCCAGCCTCGACTCCAGCCAAAGCAGGATTCTAGTTGCTCCCCACACCTACCATCTACCTCTCTCCTTGTCCTTCCTCATGTTTTTTCCCCTAGGATCTGGAGTGGTCTCTCCATCCATTTCTATTGCTTTAAATGTTATCCATTCATAGGGGATCATCTATTGTTCTATAGCATTAATTTTTGACACCCCACTCCAACCAAACTCCCTTTAAAAACACAGACCCTTGTTAAGGCAGTCACCATTTTCTACTTTCTGTGAAAATCCCAGTGTGAGAGCAATGTAGCCTAGTGGTTATCTACACAGACTTCTGAGTCAGAAGATCTGGGTTAGAAGCTTCACTCACTAGGCACGTGATCACAGGCTAGTCGTATATGAAAAGTAATGACAATAATAACAACCGACATATACTCAGTGTTTACTGTGAGTTGGGCATTAGGTGTCCATTAAGTCATTATATACTCACAACAGCCCTGTGAAGTATTAGCATTGTCTCCCTTTTACAAACGAGAAAGAAAATGCTAAGGGAGAGCAAGTGATATGGCTAGATTACAGTTATTATGTTGAGAAAATAGGCCTTGAATCCAGTTTTATTCCAAAGCCCATGTTTTGACCACTATGCTACAGGGCACATTACCTCCTCTGGGCCTCAGTTTTCTCATTTCTAAAATGGGGGGTATAGTAATACACACCTCATAAGATAGTAATGATTAAATTAGATAATACAAGAGAAGTATAATAATACAGAGCTCAATAATTTATAGCTGCTATCATTGTCATCACCATATGCTGGTCTCATCCCTCCTGCCTGTGAGCTAAGGACAGGAGGATCAGGTCCTCCTAACCCTTTGTCTCTCACGTGGTCTCCCTTGTGCCCAGAACATTCATTGAGATGTTCTGGGCCCATCTCAGGCTCAAAGAGATTGACAAAGTTTTCTAGCATTTTCCTAGAATTTGAGCACATGTCCTAAGCAATTCTGGACCTCCGAGCCATTGTGCTTTTTTTTTTTGTGTACTTTCACCACATTTAGCTCCCTCTCCAACTCCTGTTTTATTCAATTTATTTGACACCTTTCCCTAAGGTCTCCTGTGTTATACTTCAATGTAACGTTTTCTTTCTCCTCCCTCCTTCCCTCTCCTTCCCTCCCCTCTGCTCTTCCCTCCTCTTTTCCATTCCTCCCCTCTTTTCCATTCCCTTCCTCTCCCCTCCCTTTCTTTACTTATTTCTCTTCTCCTCTCCAAACCCCCTCCCCTCCTTTTCTCTGTGTCTTCTTTCCCTCTCCCAGTCACTTTCAGAACAAGAAGTGCCATCTGGATGCCATAGCTCTGTATTTCATATCTCCAGCAGCCTCCCAGGTCCCCAGTCCTTTAGCCAGAGTTTCTGGAATGAGGGCTTCTCACAGCTCAGGGATACATGGGTGGCTTTTAAGGTGTGAGGTGCTTTACCCAGAAATACCTCTTCCTCTGCTCAGATTTAGTTCATCCTTGGGTTAATATGGTTAATGGGATTAGTGGTTAAGGAGTAGTTTTTTGAGGATGCCTCCTGACTCCTCTTTCAAATAACTTTGGCATAGGACAGAAGCCAGAATTTTTATTTCTCTCATGTTCAAATCCCAGTCAAACGGTCCTATCTCTAAATAAATTTCCCCTAGGAATAGCACCCCTGATACCTTTATGGAAATTCAAAACAAAACAAAACAACAAAAAAACAAGAATACAGCTCTTTTAAAAAGTGCATCCTCCCCGCCCAGGTCACTCAACTTATGGGAGAAGGTACTTCCATTCTGTCCCTGAGGAATGAAACTGCTCTTTAAGTAAACCCAAAAGATAACTAATAAATAATCCTTCAGATTAATAATGTCTAAAAGATGAAAGTTATTAGTTTCTTTTATACATACTGTTTATTATCAGCGGTGCAATTAAATTCTATTTTATGCTGTGGTTTGAGCACACAGCTTGGAAGTGCTCTCTCCTGAGCCCTTCACTGTGACAAGCCATCGCTTCATAATTAAGGAGAGCATATAGGCCTTGCCTCTGGTGAGAAAGCTTCTTAGGTTGAGTTTGTGGATGAGACTGGGAAAGGATAAAGGATGCCTCCACATGCAGCTGGGAGAGGCCTGTAGAGCAACACTGCACGTCTCCGAGGGAGAGCCAGCCATGAGGGCAGCCTGCCTGTTTGTGAGTAGTGGGAAGGCCCGCCCCACTTCTGGTACCTTATGCTATTGAATTCATGTTCTCATGGGATTGACAGCACCTCTGGAGGAACCCAATACCACTTCTCTGTTTTCCATTTGTTTTCTATTCCGCCTGCAGACCCGGCACATCCTCATTTTTGTCTCTTAAGGCCTCTCGTGCAGATGGTGCTGTAATGAGCCTGTGGGAGGTGACTGAGGTGAACGAACCAAACAGAGAAGATGACTTAAGCCTTTCTAGAAATAAAAGGCTTAGAATTCTCTTCCTCCACAGGCACTATACATCTGTGTTTAGATGAGCCTTATCCTAGGGTGATTAATGGTGGTTCTCAAGTGCCATCCACATGATACTAGATCCAATAAAAGTTATCATTTTGAATGCTATACAAGTTATTAGTTTTATAAATATTCACAGAAAATTATCCACGACTTAAGGCCTACCTCCCCCTCCTGACCCATTGCCTTCTCCCTACCACCTCTAGGGGCATTTAAAATATGAGCAACTTTATAAAACTTTGATTTGTCTATCACTTTAGAGGAATGCAGCTTAGGCTCTGTGCTAATCATTCTTAATTACTTCAAGGAAAATGTTCCCCAGTCACTTGGAAAGATCTCTAAGCCCTGGATATGGCTGGTATAAGATGTCATCTCCCAAGGACCCTGCTGGAGGCCTGGGTTCCTGCTCACAGGTCAAGGTGGTGTCCCAGGGATGTGGCTGTAGATGCTGCCAGTGCTCCTGAGATGTGGGAACAAAATGGGCTACCATATTCAGCTCTTCTTTGCCAAGTTCCTTTGAACCATCAAGGCAGAGATTTCTGGTGATAAATGGAGAGATGTTAAAACTACTAGCCAAATGGTACAAAAAAACCATATGGTGACAAAAGTCAGAAGAAGTGGTTATCTTGGTAATGAGGGAGGGGATTATTTACTGGAAAAGGCATGAGGGAACTTTCTGGGGTGTTGGAAATCCCCTACATCTTCATCTGTCCGGCGTTTACAAGGTGTACACATATATAAAAAGTCACTGTCATCAAGCTGACATTTCAGTTCGTGCATTCTACTGTATACAATTATATCTCAATGAACAATAGTACAGTCCAAAATGCAGGTGGGAGATGATCCAAGCGGTTTCCATTTTATGCTATGCCTGACCCACTTTATACTGGAGACCGTGAGAGTTCTAAGTATCTGTATCCATTACACATCTTTATCTTCCTCCACAAGTATGTTTATACCCACAGGTTATATTTATATCTGCAGCCAGATCTATATATTTAAATCTGGAGAGGAGAGAAAAGTGTTATATGCTGTGTCTATATATAGGGTAGTTTACTTCTTTCAAAGAACAGGAGGATCCGAGCTCCATTTGTTTTTTTGTTATTGTTTTTTTTTTTTTGAGCAGGACACACATTCAAATACACACACACACTCACAAACACACTAAAATACAGTAAGTCTGGATAACTAATCAACAAATTTGCTGCTCTCCCTTGTCTGAGATGCTAAAAACTGACCTTGATGTTGACCTTGGGGATTGTCAGCACAGTGGACTTCTGCTTGGCCAGAATATCTCCTGTCTTATCGACACGAGCTGTGACGAAGAATTGCAGAGATGCTTGTTCCAGTAACTGGCCCATGTACTCGCCAGCTCTCACCAGCACTTCCTCTTCCTTGACTGCCAGAAGGGAAAACAAACATGCTGGATATTGAGACCTGAGATAGAATCTACTTTACTTTCCCCAAGTGACCTCATTTTTTTCACATTAGCACAGCACCCACTGGAACACGGCAAAGGTGAAGGGCAAATGGAACAGTCGATCAGGGATACGCTCTCCTGCTTCCGGGTAAAGAATGTGCTGGAAATTTAATATTCAGTTAAGTCTTACTAGAGAAAATGTGTCAAATTTCCCAGTGTTTTTCCTGTTGTAAAATATGATAGTCATGTTTAAAATCAAGGATCAAGGGATTTTAACTGTGGCTATTTTGATTTGGGCAGGGACAGATGCCATCCCAAGATGGCAAATGTGGAGCAGTGACGTTCAAGGCTACCATTCTATTTGCCCACCCCTCATGCCATAAGAAACCTCTCATGCAGGCTATGGGCCATGCTTGAGCAAAACTGTCAATTACCTAAACCTACTCCTTGTAGTGCTCCACATTTTCTTTCCAGGTTTTTAATTTAATTTAATTTTATTATTAGTTTCAAATATACAGTACATTGGTTAGATATTTATATAGTTTATAAACAATCTTCCTGATTGCTCTTTCTCTCCTCTGGCTCTACATCTAGCCATTACTTTAATGCTGACTGCATTCTCTATGCCGTGCTCCCCATCCCTGTGACTATCAAATACTAATTTGTACTTCTTTAACCCTTCACTATTTTCTCCAACCCCTTAAACCCCCACCCCTCTGGCTGTCACTAAATTGTCCTCTATATTTGTGAATCTGTTTTTGATGAATTTGTTCTTTTTGTTCTTCAGGTTCTACATATAAGTGAAATCATATGGTATTTATCTTTCTTTGCCTGACTTATTTCACTCAGCATAATAACCTCTAGGCCTATCCAGGTCGTTGTGAATGGTAGAATTTCATTTTTTTAATGGCTGAGTAATATTCCATTGTATATATGAACCATAACTTTTTTATCCAATTGTCTGTCGATGGGTATTTAGGTTGTTTCCATATCTTGGCTATAGTAAATTGTACTGCCATGAACATAGGAAGGCATAGATCCTTACAAATTATTGTCCAGCTTTTTTTTTTTTTTTTTTGGTCCCAATTTGACATGACTTCTACTTAAGAGAAAGACCTCTTGAAACCAGTTTTCACCATAGGCGTTCGACTCCCTCCTACCCCCTCTCTTATTTGCAACTTAAAAGACCTCTGTGCCAAATGCTTATTTCCTCAGGTCACTGAAATTAGCATTTAGGTGTCAGGGGACAGTCAGTAAGGATGACATTTGGGGGATGGGGAGAGGTCCTAGCTGCTGTCAGTCATCATTGGGCTGAAGGGGATTCTGTCCTGTGGCTCTGGCCACAGCAACGAGGTTCTGTTTGGCTGCATTGCCCACCTTCTCTATCCCTCCCATTTCCCATAGCCCGAGAGTCTAGAGAGCAAAGGGCAGTTCTCCTGCAGGCCGAGCCTGGGCCACGTGCAGCATCCGATGCTAGGTGGTCAGAGCCACCTGTTAGTGTGGCATCGTCTGCCAGCAGGCCCAGCAGGGGAATGGGTGACTCACATCTCTACCCCACACACAGAGTACAGGCTCTGTAAACATTCATGGAATTGAAGGTCTCCACCAGTGCTTCCCTGCCCCATGTCAGCCTTTTGCCAAAGAATTCTCCTTCCTGCGAAAGTTTTTGAAGGAAATAATTCTCACGGTTGATAGTTTCATGTACAGAGGGTAGTTCATTCTCGCCCTCCATAACAAGCAGCAGTCCGGCAACACGAATGGAACACTGTGTGGAGGCAGCGCCAGGGCACAGGGAGGCCTCCTGACTTGCCAGCGCACAGGTGAGGGTGTGTCAGGTGCTCAGCATCTGCTTCAAAGTCTCACAGATAAGTAGGTGCTATGACCACCTCCAGCCCTCTGACTGAGGAGTTCTCAGTCTTGGCTCCACAACACAATCACCTGGGGACATTTAAAAACCTGCCCTGCTGGATCCCAACCCAGACCAAATAAATCAGAATTTTGGAGGTTAGAGCTAGGATGTTGTTTTAAAAGTACCATAGTGGACGCTAATATGCAGCTGGGGCCAAGAAACAGCGCTCCAACAACCAGGAGATCCCCACAGAATGAGTTCTGAAAAAGCCTTGGTTCAAGTGGAAAGGGCGGTCTTTCCAACCCAGCCCTTGCTGCCCCAGGCATGGTCAGCAGCAAACATCACCTGGGAGCTTGTTAGAGATGCAAGTTCTCCGACCCCGCCCCACCTACTGGATCAGGATCTGCACTTGACTAAGATGCCCAGATGACAAGTGTGCAGGTTTGAAAAGCAGCCAGAGATACGAGGTTCTAGCAGTAGAAGGCGTGGAGTTAGGGCAAAGTTAGAGTGGACTTAGGACAGTCTCAGTTTTAAAACTGAAAATTCTGTACCCTGGAACCATTCAATTCCTGGCAAACTGGAAAGGTTGGTCACTCTAGACCAGTGGTTGTCACCCGGGGGTAATTTTGCCCCCCAGGGGATGTTTGGTAATGTCTGGAGACATTTTTGGTAGTTAGAATTGGGAGTTGCTACTGGCATCTAGTGGATACAGGCCAGGGATGCTGCTAAACGTTCTGCAATGCACAGGATGGGCCCCAGAACAATTATCTACAGCCTGAACTGTCAGTGGTGCCTCTGCTGAGAAACCCTGCCCTAGGCTATGCAGATTTATTAGAAGGTATTTGTCCATCCTAGGCAAGTACTGAACAACTTGGCTTGATTCCTGGGGCAGTCCTATTCCACTCAGAGCCAGCCTTTCAATCTATGACATTGCTTTGATCTTGGCCCTTGAATTTTGAATTTTTGAACAACCCAATCATTTTGCCTTCTTTGGGCCTGAGCCTGGACTCCGCTTTCTCCATAGCTCCTCCAGCAATCAATTGTCTAGATGAATAAGACTCTGTCTCTCAGTTGGATATAACCTCAAATGAACACATGGGGCCATTTTTCACTTCCCTAGATCTAAACGAATGGAGTGGCAAATGACAGGCCTGGGAGAATGTCCATTTTTGCCTCAAGTTGCCTTCAGTATTAATAAAACAATGGACCTCCTCTGGCTATTTCTGTGTTTGACCTCTAGGTTCCCTTAGGCTGGTGAGATACGCCTGACTTCTTTCCACCAATCTTTACAGAGGCTCTTGCTACCTTTACAATATTGATATAAAGACCCTTTAATCTCTGAGGCAGAGCATTCTCTAAATCATAGCACTAAGGAAAATGGGCTGTGCTTCGAGCCCAAGAGAACAGTTCTCCTGAAATAGTATGTTATGTAAGTGCTGTGTTTTGCCACCGCACAAGAAATTGTTCTAGATAAAGTTTATTAAACGTGGCAAGAGAAAGAAGAATAGATTTTCATTCTATAAGTGGTGGAGCTGGGATCCTGCCAACACCATTTACGGTGTCTGGGGAAAGCCAAGGGAGACACTGACTGGAGCTGCCTCATCTCTTTTCCAAAAAGCAAAAAAACCTAAATATAGCCGAGTAGAAATGATAGCACCTTTGAAGGTATTGGAAGGTTTAAGTTATTTAAGTCTTCCAAGCTGATTCTAGCCCACACATTTCCTTTAATCATCCATCTGGAAAGTATGCCTTCCATTCTACTTGGAACACTTTCATTGCAATACAGCCTCCTAAAAATGTACTTTGACCTCTAGAATATGTGACTTTTTGCAGTAATATGCAGTTTATTTTAGATTGCAATATGCAATTTATTGCATGCAGTTAATGACATCTACCTGCAGGGTAAAGCAAGTAACAGTCTCCAAACCTCTTGAAATTATTCAGGACAAGACTTGGGGTGGGCCAAGCTGTTGGGACCTGTGTTAATACTGAATCAGGCTTAGGTTTGGTCAGCTGTCCCTAGATCAGTGACTTCAGGGGACTAATATGTCATTTTAGCCTGCTAATTCATATAAGCTCATTCTTTTGTTGGATTAGGGAGAGAGGGGCAAGGAGAATGAGCCATGGAATTCTTGGGAGGTAGGAAAGGGATGGTATATAGTTTTCTGCCCAGGGAAGGTAGGGGCAGCTGGACTCCTGGTAACGGGAAACTGGCTTACTTAAGGCCCAAGATTACACCAGGGCCTACACTGTCATTGCCTGAATGAGACCTGACTTCTATTATCTGCTTTGCCTCTGACTACTGTTTGTGACTTTGAACACACCAACTCATCCTTCCAGTCTCAGTTTCTCAAAAGTAAACATGTTTGAAGTTAACATTTACTGAAAGCCTTACCGTGTGCGAAGTATTTCACACATATTTATCTTATTTAGTTTCCTTCACACCCTCTTCACATACCACACATCCAATCTGTCAGCCAATCCGGTGGGCTCTACCTTCAGAATATACCTGCATCTGATTGTATATTTCTTTCACTACCTCACCATCTCTCACTGAACTATTGCAATAGCATCTTAACTAGTCTCTAAGGTTCAGCCCTAATGCCCCTAGAATCTATTCTCAACACAGCAGCCAGAGTGACCTTTCAAAACCTAAGTTAGATCATGCCACACTTCTGCTCAGAACCCTCCAGTGGCTCCTCAGCTCGCTCGGAGTCAAAGCTAAAGTCCTTACCAGGGCCTACGGCTTTTTTCCACTACTCTCTTCTTGCCTCCTGTGCTCTCCACTCTGGTCTCCTTGCTGCTCACTGAGCACATCAGACCTGCTCTGGTCTCAGGGCCTTTGACTTCTGGTTTCTTCTGCCTGAAAAGCTCACTCCTACCCTTTTGTCAGGCTTCTGTTAAACATTACCCTATTAGAGAGATTCCGCCACCCCACTCCCCACCCCAACCACCTCACCCCCACCAGCACTCCCTATCTTCCTTACCCTGCTTTCTATTTTCCGATTACGTGCATAATAACACTAAATATTCACTTGTTTGCTTGTTCGTTGTTGAGCCCCACCTCCACCACAGGAGACCACAAACTCCATGAGGGTCTACATTTCTGTTTTGTTCATTGCTGTGTCTCCAGCACAAAACAGCACCTAGACTTAGGAGCACCAAATAAAGGTTTGGGGAGTGAATCAACAGCCCTGTGATCCAGGTTGTATTGTCCTCATGTACAGATGAGGAGAGTAAGCTCAGATTACTTAAGTAGCTTGCCTAGGGACACACAGTTAGTAGGTGACATAGTCACACCTCAAATCCAGATTTGTCTAATTCCAAGGCTTGGGCTCTAAAATCCACTGCATCTGCCTGCCCTAAAGAATTGCAATGACCGCCCTGCTTCCAAGTCTTTTATACAACTGCTCTTTTCTACAAGAATTCTCTTACCTGTAGGGATAAGAAAAGTGCTAGATCTTCCAGTTTCTAAAGAAAATGCCATGTCGATTTCCTCAACTATTAAAGCCACATTACTGAAGTTAGGAAGGTTTACTTCCTTCAAGTTTGGGTAGGTTTCTTGGAATTAAGATTTTTAAAAATAGTTTCCCAAATTCCTGGGACTATCTTTCTGAAGCCTCACAGGGCACTTACTGTGGCTTGGGACAGACACCAATTCCAGAAAGCTTGAACACTATGGAGACGTGATTTGGTCATCTCAGGGGGGCATAGTAGCTTTGCTTGCGTCTGTTTCATATACCTTTTTCTTTTCTATTTTTTTCTTTTTCAGTGGCACATGTCAGATAATGGAAATTTGGTTCAGGTCTTTTCCAACCCGCTCTGTCTACCTCAACATGCTTTGCCTGGAGACCAGTTTCTTTCTGTTGACCCATTTTGTTAGCTATGTGATTAACTGGGATGCTGACTAAATACTAAGACCCCAGGAAATGAGATTGGTCAAAACTGCAGTCCCCAGAGTAAGTTGCAGCATGTCAGTCCCAATCTTGCTTAAAATAGTATGCAGTTTTATAGTGAAGAAGATGCTTTAGAGGGGAATGCATACAGGGGAGGCTGGAAGAGATCAAGGATGAGAAAGAGGTCCCCTGAGAGATGGCAGAGAGAGCAAAGCCCTTCAGAGGCTCCTGGACAGCACATCCTGAGCTTCCAGTCTCCTCTCCCAAGGGTGGGCTCTCTCTTGGTCTTATATATCAGACAGGTCATTTTTCAAAAATGGCCTTTATGCAGAGCTTAGATCTCCCTGCCTTCTAAATGGTAAAGCAAAACCCATCCATCATTCCTGTTGAAGCAGTCCCGAAAAGAATTGGGGAGAGAGGTATCACCAGGGGTCTTCTTTCTAGATTTGTTTTTCACAAACTTTCCTGTTCACACTCCAAAGCTCTTGGGATCTTGTTAAAATGAAGATCCTAGTTCTATAGGTCTGGGTGGGGCTTGAGAGCCTGCATTTCTAACCAGCTCCCCAGGGATGCTGATGCTTCAGGTCCTCAGCCCATACTGTAAGCAGCAAGAAATTAAGTTATATTTAACTTTCACAACTTATGGGGCTCTAGGCTTTGAGAATTCCAGTGTTCACTTCTATGCATGAGACATGAAGACGAAAGGTGAAGCCTCTCTAGAACTTGGTTCTCCATGCTCCTGAGCTCTGGCGCAGAACTTAAATTTTGACAGAAAGTTATTAGGGGGTGTGAGTACGTTGCCAGCCAGATCACAAGTCCTGCAGAGAATTGCCTCTCCCCACCCCCAGTTAGCTTACTAGACAAAGGCTCCAGTGTCACATCAAATGTCTCCTTCTTGAATTCCTCCTTAGAAACCCCGGTGTAGAAGGTGATGTTGCCAGAGAGATAGGCTGAGATAGTGTGAGAGTTGGGGCTGTTGTTCTGGAAGGTGATGTTGACCTTGAAGTCTTTTCCCAGCACGGCATTTTCCACTTCAAAGTCCATGACCACATCAGACTTTGGTTTGATGACACTTTCTGTGTTGAGGGGCTTTTTAACCCCATACATCAGGGCAGTTTCAAGGGCCAGTCTCTCTTCTTTTTGGCCTAGGAAAGACAGAGATAATGATGAGGGAAAAGAAATGCGGTCCATCAAAGAGAAAGCTGCACTGTGCTCTGAGCACAAGCCATACAACTACAAGCCATACAATTTCCCTTTGGGGCAAGAATTTTTCAAATTCTGCCAAATCAAGTTCTCAGAGAGTCATGAGCTGCCCAGGTTGTCAAGTTAGGTGACGTTTCCAGGGCCTGTCAGAAAGGAGTTGCTAAGGGGCTTGCTCTAAGGGTTGTTTGTCCGGTGCCGTTATTTCAGGGTTCACAAGTAGAATTGGCAAAATCTAACTCTTCTCAAACTGCAGTATTGATTTGCTTCTTTCCCCAAGTCCTAGTCATGTAGCTAGAATTTAGAGATCTCTAAGCAAAGATTTTGGCAATAGTCGCACCTGGCCATTCCACCTTCCACAATATGAGTTTTCTCCTATTCATGGATCTCCCCAGTAATCATCTCTCTTTCTACTTGAGCCTGTCCCATTTGCTCCTGCTGAGCTCCTGTCCTGCCCTCCATTCCTTCCTCTGTTGTCATTTGCCTCCAGCAGAGTGCAGAGATCACTGTTTCCCACACAGTGCACTGCCCCATACACTCAGATCTAGCAAACTGTTAACAAGCCTTCCCTGCAGAAGGGCTATAAGGCCAAGTTCTTTTGGGTAGCACTGGTTCTCTAGTGTCCCCTGGGTGTTCACGATGTTCAATAGCCTATGAAAGATTCTGAGATTGAGCCCTAAAATAAGGAGACTTATTTAACACAAGATTTCCCAAACTCATCTGACCCAGAATACATTTTCTTTTTTTTTTTTGAGGGACACCTATCGGCAACTGGTGGTGCAGTCTGAGAAGTGTGTGTTGTGTTTGGGAAAATGTCTTATGTAAGATTTCCAAGAATGTGGCGATGGAGACAAAGGTAGGGAGAAAAGAGAAAAGGATGAGCTCTGGAAAAAGAAAAAAAATAGCTTTGTGCAGGTGAGGAAGTGAGAAGTATAGGTATGAGTCAGGCCTGGAAGCTTGCTGCTCCCACCTCCAAGCTGGGCTGACACTCCTTAGAGCCCTGAATAAAATGCTTGGCCTTGGGGGTAGGGATTGGGGAGTGGAGGGATAGTCACTATTCTCTTTACCATCTGAATGCCTTTGAGTATATCTCAGTACATTGTGGAAAATAGAGAGGCACATGTTTTTCTGGCTTGTAAAAACTAGTCATGGGGATGGCTAGCAAAAAAAAAACAAAAACAAAGACAAACAAACAAATAAGAAACCAACACTTTGAAATAAAAATACTGGCTTTTATAATTATGTTAATTTTTAAGATACTATATCTTCCACTTTAATTTATAATAAAATGCAACAGAGATGAAGAGGTCAATTAATAATAATAACTATCATTGACAGCTAACCATGTGATGGGTGTTATGGTAAATACATATTGTGTTATCTCATTTAATCCTCAGAACACCTACACAAGGCAGGAACTATTATTATCATCGATTTCTCTGTTTGTAAAACAAGGGTGCTGCCATCACAGAGTTGTGAGGTGGATTAGAGGTAGTACCTGCATAAGAATTGGTAGCTTCTAGTCCTTTGCAAAGACAGAGAAAATGCCAGCAGGTGTTGCAAACAATCGAAAATGTGTGTGTGTGTGTGTGTGTGTGTGTGTGTGTATTAACAATTTCTCTGATTGCCAAGACTGCCAGAATGTGACAGAAACAATTTGTCTAGGACAAGCATTGGCCAGAGCACATGTTTACGGATCAATAGGAGGGAGATGGTAATCAAGAGAGAAGGGGCTGTGACAAGGAAAGTGCAGCAAAGTATTTTAGCAGAAAGCATCTGGCAAATAGCTCTGTGAGAAAGAGAGCATTAACAGTTTTTGCTTTGGATGAGCACCAAATATGCATTTAGGCAAAATGCAGGGGGCGAACACCAGCAGCAGGAGCATGGTCAGAGAGGTGCCTCCATCGGGGAGAGAGGCTGAGCTGGCCTGGCTGGTGTGGAGGGAAGGGACAGTAGAAGACTTGTGGGGCTACGAGAGAATTCATAGAATGTCCTATCATAGATGGAGGGATCTCTAGCTTCCTTCTGTGGATGAGCCTGTCTCTATGAGCAGGAAGTGCTAGGCAGAGGTAGGCTTGGGATTTTGCAGGAAGCACAGGCCCAGGTAGGAGGCGAGAACTGCAGGATTTTCCCAGAGCTTGGCAGAATTCCCATCACTTTGCAGTTGTGCTTTGTGCTCTGACATCTTACATAATTCAGGCCATGAATTTAGTGCTATGAGAGAATGATCTAAAGCCAGATTGTTATTTTCTGAGATTCCTCTGTGGCATCCAGGAGCAAGGTCAAAAACATCTTTTTGTTAACCGGGATGCAATGAGAGTGCCCTTTTATGTTTGACGAAGCCTCTTTTCATTGTTTGGGTCTTAGCTCAAATGTCACCTTCTCAGAGTGCCCTCCCTTTCATTACCCTGTGTAATGTGCCTCCAATAATGTGTTATTTCTCACTAACGCATTATCTGGTTTTCTTTCCTTTTCCTAGAACTTGTCACTATATGACATTATTTCCCCTGCTAGAATGAAAGCTCCATGTCCCCAAGACCTAGGACTCAGCCTGGCACAGAGGCTTTTGAAGGGTCACAGTTTGAAGAAGGCTTTTGCTTTCATTCTTTCATCTTTGTAATAGATACTAAATAGTCCAGTTTACAATATCTGATGTTCAGTTAAGCTCACTCGTGAAAGTGCCACCTATGTTGGCATTCATTTGATTATTTTATGCTAGTTGAGACCCTATAATTTCTATGCACTGTTCCAAGCTCAGGTTAGAAGCACAGTCCTTCTCTCAGGGGTCTTGGAGAAAAGTGAAGACGGATCACCATGAACATGTCCATCACACATGCTGAGGTAGATGTTTGCATGTGGAACAGGGAACATGGGAAAGACACAGCTTCCCTGGGGGCAGGGAAGTCTTCTCAGAGGTGTGATCCCTCCACAGTGAGAGCAAGTGGGAGCCTGGCTTGTTGGAGGAACTGTCAGCAGCTCACTTGGCTGCTGCTTATGATAATTGTGGGTGTGGTCAGACGGGGCCACAAGGGGGCCAAAAAGGCAAACAGAGGCTTGGCAACCTCTGATTGCAATGCCTTGGATATGGCTGAAGAGAGTGAGGGCTTTTAAGTAGAGCGGCAATAGGTTCAGATTTATTTTTAAATATATCACTTTGGCAGCAATGCAGGGTTTATAATGAGGGGAAGAGGATGAGAAGGAAAGGTAGATTTGGGAAACTATAGCAGGTTATCCAAGCGAAAAACAATCATAGTTCAAGGTAATACTAGTGATATGATAGTAATAATAGAATGGCTAGCTGTAGCAGAAGCTATCTTTTATTGGACACTTTCTATGTATCAGGTACTGTGCTAAGAGCTTTCCACACATGATACAATTTAATTCTCAGAGAGTGGCCACAGAGATAGAGGGGAAGGGATGGATTTGACCTATTTCAGAGGGAACATTTAGAAGATTTGCTGTTTGACTGATTCTCAAGTTGCTAAATTTAGGTAGATTATGGTTCTCTTCACTTGGGAAGGGAGCGTAGGAGAAACAGATCTGGGGTGGGGGAGGCAGTGGGAGACATGGCATCTGGGAAGGTTCAGTTTCAGGTTTGGGTGAATGTGGAGCTGAAAAGTGAAGTCTAAATTGGAGACAGTGACTTGGGAGTGATCAGTATATATGTGAACATAACACCAGGGGCATAGAAAGAACATAAAGGGGATGGAATGAAGCCCAAGGATGGAAGCCTAGAATAAAGAAACAGTCAGAGGGAGTAATGAAAGGGGAGCTTAGACTTGCAGGAGATAGGAAAAAGAGCCAAGTAGGTTGGGATAAAACCAGGAGACATTCGTATCATAGAAACAAAGAAAACAGAATTTCAAGAATTGGGAGTGAGCAATAGCATCAAAAGGTGTAGGAGGGTGAGGCAAGCTGAGGTCTGCAAAACGTTTATTCTACATGGCAATCAGGTGGTCTTGGCAATATTGAGAAGATCTTCAAAGACTTGATGGTAGCAGAATTCAGGGTATAGTAGGTGAGAAATGAAAGGAAAAAGAACATGACAGGATGCCAGGTGTAGGCAGCTCTCTCAAGGTGCCTGGCTATGGAGGAAAGGAGGAAGAAAGTATGGGCATGTTTGGTGGGAGATATACTGTTGAAAAGGGTTTTGTCAATTTTTAAACACAGGTGACACTTGAGCCTGCTTAAATGATCGTGGGAAAGAGCTAATAGAAAAAGAGAGATGAAAATACAGGCCACAGAGGGAACCACTGATGGAGCAAAGAGGAAATGGGATCCAGACACCAGCATAAAGAAGACATATTGCCACAGGAGAAATTTTAAGAATTCTGGTTTTCAAAGTTTTATAATATAAAAGGTATAAACTTAAGCTTTAGTTTACTGAAGTGAAAAAGATCTATCCACAATTCAGTTAATTAGAATAATAAATTCCTAAATCTGATAATAATTTCTTTTTTACTTATTGCCACATTTTAGTAGCCACATGCAGAATTTGTGTATAGAGAAATTATATGAGACATTCAATAATGAGAATCAGGGTGACAAATGCATGGCCATGGATATTGGCAGTACCTTCCTAGATGTCCATGGCAAACATCAGT